CCGTGCTCCAGTAACCTGACCTCGCCCAAGCTACTGTGCTCAACCTTGACACTGATCTAGAACGCAAGGGGGAGAGCCTTGGGGCAGGTTGTGGTCCGGGCTTTTGAAATGGTGATGCTGATCGTTGCCATATCTCAGCACCATCCTCACTATCCCTTTTCATTTTTCTTCCAATCGGCTTTGTCTTGTTTACTTACTCGTATGTCCTAGTCTATCCTGTGATAATATCCATGACACAGTCGGTTTGATATGTTATTTCCACTCGCTTTTAACATGGTTTAAATCGATAACATGACTGACACAGAAGCTGTCTGTGCACTCCACCAGCAGCACATGTGGCAATTTCGGGAACTCTGGGGTCCAGTCCCTCCATTTTAAAAATGAGGAAACTGAGCCTGGGGAGGAGGAGGGGTGGTTTGTCCAGGTCACACAGTCAGTCGGTGGCAGCTCTGTCCCCGGTGCCAGACTCGCTCCTCCTTGCTCTCGGTTCCCGCATAGAACCGAGTCTCCTGCATCCTGAGCCTTGTCTCAGGGCAGCGGCCAGTTCCCTTCCCACCTCCCTGTAAAGCCTCTTGATCTGTGATATCAAGATCACCCTAAGGCAGGAATCTTCCTCTCCTCCGAGACTCTTTCCGTGAATAATGGAAAGAATGAGCATATTGCTGACCCCCGCTTTACAGTGGTGGGAGGTGGGGATCAGGGTAGGTGAGTAACTTGCCCCTGGTCACAGAGCTGGTAAACCTGGACTCCAGCGCCAGCGTGTCTGTCTCCAGCATCCACCGGTGACCTCGCAATGACCGCTTCCCTTGTCCACTGCGTGCTCTCCTAGGAGCTCATCACCGCCTGGTATATCGGATTCCTGACGCTCATCCTTTCTTCGTTTCTTGTCTACCTGGTTGAGAAGGATGTGCCGGAGGTGGATGCACAAGGAGGAGAGATGAAAGAGGAGTTTGAGACCTACGCAGATGCCCTTTGGTGGGGTCTGGTGAGTCACCATCGCAAGACGTTCCTCACGTGCGGCTTGACTGTTAGTGACGGGGAGGTGGAGGGCGGGACGTGGGCTCGCTCAGCCGGGCAGCTGCGTTCAGTACTCACAGGTGAGAGCCAGGCTTCCCCGTTTCCAAACCTCCTCCGGGAGACTCCCCACCCCCCTCCACAGGGTGTGCACTTGGAACAGCCTTTTCCATAGTGTTTATAAGAAATCGGGCTCTGACAGCTGGTCCCATGCGACCTCACCTCGTTAGCTGTAGGCTATAATCAGTCAGGCCACACATGTACAAACGGACACAGTGGCAGATGCACACAAGTACATACAGACCTTCGAATGCACCTGCAGACGCGCATCCCACACCCGCAGGACACCTGGTACTAAAACTGACACTTACTGAAGGCCGGCTTTGCCCTGGAGCATTGTGCTAAGCACTTTACATTTTTAAGAGATTTTAAATTTAAACAACTCCTGTTATTAGACCCTTTATAAAAATAGGGAAACTGAGGCCTGAAGACCACGAAGCCAGTTAGTGGCTGACCTGGGATTTGAACTTGGGAGGTTGGGGTCCTGCTCTGATAAACTGCCCTCCGTGTTCATAAGTACATAGTACTGATAACCCACACTTGTAAACACACTCAGGAATATGCGACACAGCGGACATTAGCCATGCACCCATGTGCCCGTAATACATATAAATATAAGCACGCGTGACTCTGCACAAAATCACACTTAAGCATACTCGCATAAGTGTCCACGCATGCGCGCACACCTTGCAACCATTGAAATATTTGCTGAGCGATGACACTGAGAAATCCTTGAGTCAGAAACAGGTGTGGTCCGCAGGCTCCGTACCCTTGACACCTGGTGCCTATTCTCACACGGGAATCTAGTTCTCAGTGGGAGAGCACCCGGCAGGACGGGCCGATGGGTGGGGCTCAGTGGACACACCCTGGTCTCCTTGTCCCTGGGCGGCCCCATGTCTGGACTCTTCTCCCTTCAGATCACACTGGCTACCATTGGCTACGGAGACAAGACGCCCAAAACGTGGGAGGGCCGCCTGATTGCAGCCACCTTTTCCTTAATCGGCGTCTCCTTCTTTGCCCTTCCAGCTGTAAGTATCTTCGGTGCTCTCCCCAGTGTGACATGCGGGACCCTCGCTGCCTGGCCCCAGCCTCATCCCCTGAATTCCAGCCCTGTCAGTGCAGGGGCCGCCCCCTTAAGCGTGGCGCCCCTCCTCCCTGCCGCGGGCTGTGCCGGTCCCTTTGCTAGGAGTGATTCCGCCAGCATCTCCTCCTCCTCCAAGGGCGTTTCGGAGCTGCCTTCTCCAGACTGTTAGTCACTCCCTCCTCTCGGTGGAACCGTGCAGAGGCATCTCTGACCCGTGCTGGGGGTGCACGGGTCCGTGTCTGCCTCCTGGGCAGACGTGAGCTCCCCGGGGGCTGGGATGAAGTGATTCACTTAGGAATGTCCTGCACAGAGCGGGTCCTTCGTATATGCGAGCCCCTTCCCTCGCACTACCATTCACTGGCTGATGCAGCAGGATGCATTTCCCTCAAGAGTGAGCCTTGACTCCTGATAGAAAAGTTCCCCCAAACCCAGTGCCCATAAGTGTAATACTAATCGTCATAAATGCCTCCCGGTGAACTTACTGGGTGCATGGGACTGTTACGTGGGAATCATGGCAGATGCTCCCCTGATCATGGCATCTCGCGTCGTGTTCACGATGACGTTAGGAGCCGGTGCTGTATTTATCTGCAGTTTCCACGTGAGAAACTGCGGCTTCCTTGGGTTAACAGTCACAGGTGATTAGACTGTGGACCCGGGTCCGCTGGTTCTGGAGCCTGGCTCTCAGTCACGAAGCTCGAAAAGAACCTTCTGATGAAACAACCCACCTCCACCCCCATCACCTCCCATCCCGAGGTCGGGGTGTTCCTTTTCCGTTGGAGCCCTGCCTTGTCTGTTGCTTTCAAAGCTGTTTGACCTTGGGTATATGACCTTTCTGAATCTGTTCCCTCATCTGTAACAGGTGAGGGGCTGCAGGGGAGCCTCTCTTAAGTTCTCTCCCAAATTGAAAGTGTGTATCCATTTAATCCCCATTCCGGTCTGACCTGGAAATCAAAACAGATTATAATTCTGGGAAAGTCCAGCTATGGTAAAAGTCTCAAGCGACAATTCAAGCCGGTAAAATACTTTTAAATTCCATTAACGTCTACTGGACATCGATTCTGTGTCACGCCCCTTCCTAGGCAGTTCCTAGGTAGATGACATTATCACATTTTTTCCTTAACACGATTACGAGGTGTGCGCTGTTATCCCACCTCCCCGTGGGGGAAAGTGAGCAGCGGCAGCTGAGAGAGTTGCTCAGGGTCTCACGCCTCGAAAGTGGCAGGGTCAGGAAGTGGCAGGGTGACAGACGCGGCCGAGCAAAGTGCCACCGAAGTGGCAGCGTCAGGCTTTCCAGACTTCGAGGCTCCGCCTAGCCCCAGGACGGTACTGGAAGAGTAGGAAGCGGTCTGTGTCCCTTCTCCCCTTCCCCTGATGTCGCCCCTGTGCCCGGGAGTCGGGGTGGGTACCGGGAGAGCCTGGGCGAGGCTGACTCACAGCCTGACTCCTCCCTCCAGGGCATCCTGGGGTCCGGGCTGGCGCTCAAGGTGCAGGAGCAGCACCGCCAGAAGCACTTTGAGAAAAGAAGGAAGCCGGCTGCCGAGCTCATCCAGGTCTGTCTGCCTGGGGGCGCGCTGCAAGGACCAGGGTCCGTGTGTGTGTCTGTGTGTGTGTGCGTGTGTGTGTGTGTGTCAGTGTGTCTCTGTGTGTGGTGTGTGCGTGTGTGTGTCTGTGTGTATCCGTGTATGTGTGTGGGTCTGTGTGTGTCTGTGTCTGTGTGTGGGGTGTGTGTGTATGTGTATCTGTGTGTGTGAGTGTGTGTGTGTCTGTGGGTGTATGTGTCTGTGTCTGTGTCTGTGTGTCTGTGTGTGTCAGTGTGTCTCTGTGTGTGGTGTGTGCGTGTGTGTGTCTGTGTGTATCCGTGTATGTGTGTGGGTCTGTGTGTGTCTGTGTCTGTGTGTGGGGTGTGTGTGTATGTGTATCTGTGTGTGTGAGTGTGTGTGTGTCTGTGGGTGTATGTGTCTGTGTCTGTGTCTGTGTGTCTGTGTGTGTCAGTGTGTCTCTGTGTGTGGTGTGTGCGTGTGTGTGTCTGTGTGTATCCGTGTATGTGTGTGGGTCTGTGTGTGTCTGTGTCTGTGTGTGGGGTGTGTGTGTATGTGTATCTGTGTGTGTGAGTGTGTGTGTGTCTGTGGGTGTATGTGTCTGTGTCTGTGTCTGTGTGTCTGTGTGTGTCAGTGTGTCTCTGTGTGTGGTGTGTGCGTGTGTGTGTCTGTGTGTATCCGTGTATGTGTGTGGGTCTGTGTGTGTCTGTGTCTGTGTGTGGGGTGTGTGTGTATGTGTATCTGTGTGTGTGTGTCTGTGTGTCTGTGTGTGTGTTTTTGCACGCGCCGTGAACTGGGGCAGGACCCAGGACCACGCTTGCTTGCAGGTGGCTGGGGCGTTTCTGCGGTCATCTATGGGGCCTGTCTCTCCGTACTGAGAGTGACAGTTCTGTCGCTCTCTCATCCGGGCACTAAGCCAGTCAAGCAATAGACACGGAGCTGAGACAGGGACCGACCCACCCGCTGTTTCACTGATGACGCTGCAGAGGACGGTTTGGGTCTATACCAGGCTTTTCTGTCCACCTCCCACCCCAGTCTTCACCTAGGGACCCACAGGGAGGAGTCAGCCTAGAGTCCAGGCGCTTAGCCAATCGGCGACAAGGAGATGTGGCCCCTCATCTAGGCCAAGGCCAGAGAGTCCGTAAGCCCAGAGAGGAAGGGACACCTTCCCTGTGCAAAATGCTGAGCAGTCCGCCCATCCGTCCTGCCCGGTAGACAGTCATACGCCGGCTGGATGCCTCTCCATCTTCATCGCTGCCCCCGCCGTGGGCTGGGGCTTGGGGACAGTAGTGAGAGCTGGTGAGAAAGGCACAAGTGTCCCTCCTTACACGTCAGAGGGCCTTCCCGCTTCAGGGTTTTATGGGCCTCCGAGAGCCCAGAGAACAGGAAAGTAAAGCTTTCTGGCTATAGCTGCATGGGGCAGGATGTCTGCGTGACACCCACTGGTGAACGTGCGTCCTGTTGTACTGAGTGTCCCCGTGGGTCCGTGGGTCTGATCCTGGACGGTCCATGATGTCATTTGACACACTGTAGTTTGAAGGCCGGTCCCAGTCTCTATTGTCCCCTAAGCCCCAAACCGTCACAGTATCCCAGCGGTTCTGTTATGTTAGAACTGAAACTTCATCTCTGGGCCGTCTCTTGTACCCAGGAGTGGCACAGGAACAATATTTGTCCTCCTACTTCCTGTCTGAGAAGTCTCAGGGACCTGCAGCAAAAGTCGCCCCCATGCCTCTCAGGGGTTCCGTGCCCAGCTCTCCTTTCTCCCTCTACTGCACTTCACCCCCCTACACCCCCCACCCACAACACCAGCTATAGCTCCGAGATGCTGGGGTCAAGGATATTTACTTTCCAAAGGAGCTACAAAAAGCCCAAAATCTAGCTCCTCGGGATGTTGCTTAAATGCACATTCAGACTCTTAGGAGTCAAAGGCTTAAACAATGTTCTAATGCTGTGGGGACTCTGTGTGGACGTTTTGGGTGACACCGGGTCATCCCTGTCCCTCTCTCCTCCCCCCAGGCGGCCTGGAGGTATTACGCCACCAACCCCAACAGGATCGACCTTGTGGCGACATGGAGGTTCTACGAATCAATCGTGTCTTTTCCGTTCTTCAGGCAAGTGGTGACCTATCTGGAATGCTCAGGGCGCGACCAGCTGTCCCTCCCGTGGGACTGTGTCGGTGCCTGTGGCCTTCAGGGTTTCTCGGAGGACGTCTTTCAGGGCAGTGGTTTACAATCTGGGCTGCACGTTAGAATCACCTGGGAGCTTTAAAAATCCCGGTGACCAGGCTGCTTAAATCAGAATCCCTGGAGATGCGCCCAGGCATCAGTACTTTGTAAAGCTCCCCAGATGACCCGAGGGTTCCACGGGGGGTTACCAGGTAGACAACGTAGAGTGGCTGATAAGAGAAGGTCCTATCAATGTTTAAGCAGGACCAGTGGCTGAGAAAGCGGGGAGCCGGTACGATGGGCCACCCTAGCAATCCTGGATGCCCCCCACCTGTGTGGTCCACGCCCGCAGACCACTCTGGACGCTGGGGACAGGCAGGCGGAGGACGCAGCGGGGGGAGTCCTCCAGAGACCCTGGAGGTGAAATGAAAAGCCTTAGGAAAAAAAATAAACTTTCCCAGGGCCAGCACCTCCAAAAGGGAGAGAGAAATTAGTATTCGTTAGATGTCCAGAACATTCCAAGGTATCCATCAGACTTTGTTTAATCCTCACAGGCAGCCTACGAAATAAGTCAAGGTTCTCTGATGTTAAGGTGCATTAACTCAGTGGGCAAGTGCGGATGGTGTCGGAACGGTAAAGCCTCTCGAACAGGTGTCCAGGGCGCTTCCGAAACAGCGGCCCACGGCGCACAGGAGACAGGCTGCATGGTCAGCATAAGCTGGCTCCTCTCACAGATGAGTGGTCCGGGGCTCAGAACCTTTGGGCATCGGGGCCAATGTCGGCCACATCCAGAGGCCCCCACGCCCATGGGCTCCTCACTGCTGGGCTGCTGGAGCAGACGGCGCTTTTCCAGGGTTGAGATGCTACGGCCCTGAGCTCAGATCTTTGAGTGTGTGCGTAGGATGCTGTATTGCCTAAACTCCTGAGCTGGGAGGAAAAGCAGAGGGACCTCCAGCTTCCTACCTGGAGCTGGGCCTGCTCTAAAATGTGTTTCTGCCATGTGTCGTTGGTTTCATGGACCATGGTATGACCCAAAACTAGGCAGATGGCTCCCTCCATCCCCACCCCACTCCCACACACTCAATATGAGACCCGAGACCAATCTCTGAACATGGCCTCAATTACCCCACCACCCCCATCACCAGATAGTGGTAAAGATGTAAGGAAATCCAAGAAAGCTAGGTTCTGCTGACTCGTTTCTCTACATAAAGCCTACCAGTGGGTGATCATGACAAAGAGAACAAAATCCCAAACTTGACCATGACAGCTCAGGCCTGAGCTTATCTCCCCAACCTCCCTTCTGCTGTGCTGTGACTCTCCAGAGGTCCTGGTGGCATGGACCTCTTTCTATTTAGGGCACTTAGTCCACCAATATTTTTGACCCCTCTGTCAGCCTGAGCTCTGGGTCAGACCGAGGAAGGTCACAGGTGACTTATAAAGGAATCCGACCTTGATCCTGAAGGCAAAGAGAGGCCATTTGACCACATAATGACAAATTACAAAAAAAAAAAAAAGTTACAAAGTACTATTTCAGGTAGATGATGGGGAGGAGTGCGTGGGATGGATTGGACAGGCTCGAGATGCTAGGCAAGGAGATTAGCTAGCAAATGGTTACAGGATTCAGGGTAAGAGGCAATGAAGGCTTGGACCAAAGTGAAAGCAGTAAGAAGGAGGACTAGAGAGAGGAACCGAGAGGGAACAAGCAAAGAGGGGGAAAAGTCAGGGGGTGATGACTTTAGAAGAGTGAGGGGGTGAGAAGGAGCAAGGCTTCCGTCGATTTGCGTGATAAAGTTTGGATTTACTGACTGATTCTTGCTTATAGTCGGACTCGATTGCTCAGAAGATGGCCTCTGGGGTTCCTTTTGATTCTAAAATGCTGTTGTTGCAATAAATGCTTCAGATTTGGGATAGAAGCAGTCTTCTTTTGGGTAGCAGGAGTCTTCTTAGAAGGGGCAGGCGGCTTCCCTTTAAGAGAACAGAGCGACCTTCAACTCAAAAACAAGAACATATACATCCAGATGATTTCTTTTTGCTATGCATCCCAAGGTCTTGGCAATAGGCCCGTTTTGGGGGGGTCGATGTATTATAAACAAGCTATTGTCCTCGCCATCAGAGAGTTGGGGGAATACATTCAGTTGCAGACAGCTGCTGTGATATGGGAATGGCTTTGAAACTAAGAGAAAACCTTTATTTTTTTTTGCTGGCTTTTTTTTTCCAAGGACAAAAGTGTAAAGTCCCTAGAGAAATTCACTTAGCAACTATTCTGAAACGAGGCAGGCCTTGGGGAAAAGAATGTCCCTAGGTTCCAGCCCACTCCATATGTTCGATTGCAAAAAAAAGTAGTCGATAACACACTGGTGAGTCCTCACCTGTCTCCTACGTTTTTTGTTTGTTTCTTATTTATGCTTTAAAATAATAACTTTATGGAGCTATGTTTCACATATCATAAGAGGATTTCACATACCATAAAAGTTATTTTTTTAAAGTGGAGGATTCAGTGGTTTTCGGTGCATTCACGCATACATATAGTGGTTCCTCGTGGCTTCTCCTCGCTCCCAGCCCTGCAACAACTAATCTATTTTCTGTCCCTTTTCCACTTCTTCTGGACATTTCATATAAAAACGAATTCGCCAACTGTGTGGCCTCTCGTGTCTGGTTTCTTTCATTTAGCGCAACGTTTTCGAGTTTCAGCCATGTTTTCACGTGTATCAGATCTTTATGCCTCTCTCCGGCTGAATGGCATCCCATTGGAAATGCCCTACTTCGTTTTATCCTCCTCTCCATTGATGGACATTTGGGTCGTGTCCACTTTGTCACTGTTGCGATGCCGTGGGCATTGGGGTACGTGTGCTGTCACGTGTTTCCAGTTTGCTAACTCCGTGCTTAACTTTTCGAAAAACCACCAGGCCGTTTTCCATGGCGGCTGCACCATTTCACCTTCCTCCCAAAGATTCTGGAGGGCAAAGGCGTGTGGCCCTTTGATGATCTGCCAGTATCCGTGTGTGAGGGGCTAGCAGCGATGGATCACTGCGTTCGCTTTTTCTTTCTTCTTTCTTATGACTTAAAATAGTGACCTCATTTTTGCAAAGAACTCAGGAAGTTTCAAGTTCAAACGCAGTTTTATGTGAGAAGAAACCGAGGCCCCCGGGAGTCCATGGACTTGCTCAAGGTCGCACAACGTGTCGGGCGTGGCTGACACCAAACCCAGGTCTCCTTGTCTGCCGGCCAGTGGAGACTGTAGGATTGGTGCGATGAGGTGGTAGGCGTCTGAGAAGGTACCGGCAGATACTGGGGATGGTAAGGGCGACCATTTCTATATGCAAGTGGAGACGAGGGCTGACATCAAAACCAGATGTTTTTCCATCAGCAGAAGAGCATGCACGTCAATGGGTTCCCTAAAAGTGGTGGCGAAATTATGTGCAGCTGTGCTGTCCAGTACGGTCACCACTGGCCACAAGTAGCTCTTGAGCGTCTAGCTGTTACCGGTACGACTTAAGAACCAAATTTTTTATTTTATTTAATTTTAGTCTCAATAGCTTTGTGCAACAGGTGATTACCATATTAGACAGTGCAGCTCCGGAAGCAGTTCAACATTGGAACTAAAATGGAGATGGGGAGACTTAAGCCCAAGAACTAGAAGTTAGTTCATCAGAATGTCCCAGTTTATTCATGTGTAACCAGGACATGTTCCTTGCGTGATCAAGGTCAAGATTTTTGGAGTGCTTAGAAATGAAGAATGCGAACTATATACATCGTAATCCTTCCCTATGGGCAAGAAACGTTGGGTCTGCTTTCATGCATGCTATTTCATTTCATCTTTAGAATGTCCTGGAAGACAAGCAGAATGGGTAACTCCATTTTTCACTAATTTTATAAGTGAAGGGTCAGAGCATCAGTGAGATTAGTTAGCTTGCCTAACGTCACCCAGCTAGTTAGTGACGGAGCAAAGGTTACAACCCAGCTCTGAAGCCAAAGCTTATTATATCTCTGGGATGAAAAAGTTATTTAGGGAGAAAACTAGGTAAAATAAATGTGAGACAGGGCATTTAGGATAATAATAACTCACTTCTGAAGACTGTTGTTGTGAGGGTCAAGTGAATAAAATGTAAAAGTACCTGGCCCGGTACCTGGCCCATAACAGGTGTTCATTCTCTGCTGGTTGAATCTGGGCTGGAAGGAAGTATCGATGTTATAACAGAGGGGGTAAGGTGGGAAAGGAAGACACTAGGCTCCCAAATTATAATCCCGGAAGGTCGGGGTTTGTGACAGCAGGGCTAGAACACCGTATCTGGGATGTGGTTACACACCTTTTATTCATTTATTCCATTCATTCATTCAGCGAGGATTTACTGAGCATCTCTCATGTGATGGGCATGGTGTTTGGGATACCAAACAGGAAGGGATCGACGGTACTGGCCCTGTCACAAGGTCGATGGAGACACAGACAGAGAAGTGCCC